CGGCTGGAGAATTTATGCCGAAAAAGAGCAGAAAGGGTCCTGTCAAACTCTACTTGAGGTTTGCCACCTAAATTTCCCCTGTACTCTCAAAGCAGCTGATTCTTTGCCCACTTAATTGTCCCACCAACAGTGTCAAACTTGTCTGATTTATTTCATTACTTACTTACACACGAGCTCATCTCTGCTTGAAACCCTGGTCATCCTTTCTCCCTCCCTCAGCTTTGTCTTATTAATAAGACCAAAACATCTTTCACCAGCCTAAACAGGGCAGTAACAAATAAAATAAAAGTGGCAGAACCGAAGAAGGCTTTGCTAAAAAAAGCCCAGAGGTTGGAAGAAGGAATCGCTAGAAAGTCAGGGACCAAAGAAACAGGTGAAAATATTTTCGGGAAGAAAGGGGTGGTATTAATTTTTTGGCTGACCTACATCCTCCTCCCTGGATTCATGGCAAAGAAGGGAAAACCTGTGAAATTTGCCTTCCTTCTCACCCTTGTGCTACAGTGTGAAAATACGTCCTGCTCCTATTTTGCACTGAAAAAATTACGAGATTTTGGAGCACCTGACAGTCCTGGGACGTCACCAAATCTCTAATAATATATGCAAGTGTAATTCTTGAATATAGGTTGAAGGAAAAAGCTCAGCAGAGTTCTGAACTTCTGCGTAACCTTGGCTGTGCAAATTATTGTGGATATCGGGTGGACTAAAGCTGTATTGATGAGGAATCCCTTCCTGCCACCCATGCTTAGGCTAGTAGGTGATAACTGATTACACTACAAAAAACTGCAGAGAAAGCTCGTACGAACAGCTGGCACGTCGCAGCTACGTATCTCACAGTGTTTCACATCACAGGCTTACGCTGTGAATTGTACAGCAAATGTAGACTAAACAATACAGCGTAATTCTCACCAGTTTAGCTGGGGGAAAAATACCTTTCAGTTCATGCAGTCGATCTGTTGCTTTTGCAAAAAGAGCTTTCGCTGAGAAAGTCTTTGGGATATTGTGGGATGCAAGTTAACACAAAGGGCTGTCACCTGCTGGTGGACAACGCTCGATTCTTATTTAGGAAATCACACCTGAGGATGTCACTGATAGATGTTGATGGGGACAGAGGTAGGGATGAAAACCTACAATGAAGTGGGTGTGTTTTTTTTTTTTAAATAAAAATAATTTTAAAAAACGCCATCAAAACCAAAGACATTAATAGCTAGACTCTCTCTTTAAGCTATGTGTAACACCTGATGGCAAAAAAAGTGACATTTCTTCTCTACTCTCGCTTTCCTTAGGGAATGTATGAATGGGGAATTAGAGTTAGTAACCCAGGTTTGGCTTTCCCCTTAGTGACAAACAGGGGTGTTTTCTTGGTGAGCCTCCGGGCACTGGCAATTTCTTAAGTTAGTATTTTCCCAGGCGAAGCCAAGGAGTCCCCAGGTGCACGGTGCTCACTTAAGATGCCACCCGTGGTCTGGGCAGCCTGCACGAGGACATGCACCTTTTACATAGGATTGAAGTCCAAGTCAGCAATTGACTGTAAAACACCCATATATCCATCCGTGCCTACTGAGTTCTTAGGGCAGCATAGAATTTGTGGGAAGGCAACGAAATGTGATTGTGATGCCAGTGGTGAAATTCTTGCTGACATCAGCAGGGGAATGGTTTGCTCTTCTCTACGACTGCAGTCAGAAATGAATCCCTGATTGGCAGCCTCCAAGAAGCTGTGTTTCCTCAAGCATTATACAGAAGGGAAATATGTATTACTGAGTTTTAATTGTTTCTTGAGTTAATTTCAGCATGAATGGGTTACACAGTCATTTCACAGAAATGCTATTATTTCAGTTCTGTTATAGAGTGGTATTTTTGCTTGCCTTGTGGCATAAACTTTCCTAAAAGAAAGTTTCTTTAAAAAAGACCTCAGTAATTAGTTCTCTGGTATTAAGGAGGGGCATAAACCTGTAAGAATTTAGTAACTAATTAAAGGAAACACTTTCCACTAAGGAAAAGCTGGAAGATCATTATGCTAATAATGGTCTGGATGGTGCTGTTCCATGTAGAATTCCCATAGGTATTAATGGAAGTTTTGTGCTAAATCAGCAGTAGTTTTAGGTGGTGGATTGTAAAAAGGGATATGCTGCCCAGCAGGATCTTAATCCTTCTGCATTTACTTAGCCAAACTTTGTCTTTGAAATGCTTTTGAAATCTGTCCCAATTTTCAGCAGGGGTCACGCCTGAATAATATTACGGGATCGGGCTTCAAATGTAAGGGCAACAGAATTTAAATATATTAAGACAGATCTTCTCTTAATCCTGAGATGTAGAACGTGGGTTAGAGGAGGAAAGAGCTGTAGCTTTAGCTCGTTACTTCTTGTCTTAGCCACCATAGACTGGTTTCTCGACGTGTTCTTGTACTGTTTGGTTTCCAGGGACAGATCTGTCGCTTAGACCGGGCTGCTGCAAGAATGGGGCCCTTGGAAGCAGCAGGCGAAGAAAACCAGACGGATGAAACGAACATGGAGCTGTTCACCAAGCTGTACTTGCCGAGATATACCACGCCGCTCAATGAATTGGCTCTGGACCCTAAACCAGAACTAAAGGACAGCACAATGCTGGTTGAAGTGCAGATAATCCTCATCTTTGCCTACTGCTCCATCATCCTGCTGGGCGTGATTGGGAACTCCCTTGTCATCCACGTCATCATCAAGTTCAAAAGCATGCGCACAGTGACTAACTTCTTCATTGCCAACCTGGCTGTGGCCGACCTGCTGGTGAATACGCTGTGTCTGCCCTTCACTTTGGTTTACACGCTGTTGGGCGAATGGAAGCTGGGCCCGGTTTTGTGCCACCTGGTGCCTTATGCCCAGGCTCTTGCTGTGCACGTATCTACTGTTACTTTAACCGTGATCGCTTTGGATCGTCATCGCTGCATTGTCTACCACCTGGAAAGCAAAATCTCTAAGCGGATCAGCTTCCTGATTATAGGAGTTGCCTGGGCAGTCAGTGCCCTGCTAGCAAGTCCTCTAGCCATTTTCCGTGAGTACTCTTTAATTGAGATAATTCCTGACTTCAAGATTGTGGTCTGCTCTGAGAAGTGGCCAGGGGAGGGGCAGCTTAACTATGGCACCATCTACAGTGTCTCCATGCTCCTGATCCAGTACGTGCTGCCTCTGGCAGTCATCTCCTATGCCTACGCCCGTATTTGGACCAAGCTCAAGAACCACGTTAGCCCTGGGGCAGGGAACGACCACTACCACCACCGGCGGCGGAAAACCACCAAGATGCTGGTGTGTGTGGTCGTGGTGTTCGCTGTCAGCTGGCTGCCGTTTCACACCTTCCAGCTAGTGAGCGACATTGACAGTCAGGTGTTAGACCTGAAAGAGTACAAACTGATCTACACAGTGTTTCACGTCATCGCCATGTGCTCAACGTTTGCTAACCCCCTTCTCTATGGCTGGATGAATAACAACTACAGGACGGCCTTCCTCACGGCCTTCCAGTGTGAACAGCGGCTGGACTCCATCCACCCTGAGGTATCAGCAGCTTTCAAAGCCAGGAAGAAACTAGAAGCAAAGAGGATTCAATTCCCTGGAGACTCTTTCACACAACCTACCAATGTCTAACATGTCTGACTTTAAAGAAGACATGAATATGTTGTGGACAAAGGGATAAATCCATTTTGACACATGCAATTTTAATGCATAGTTCTATTCATAAATGGTGAAAGAAAAGTAGCAGGAAAGTCAAGGCAAGTGGTATGATTTGAGGGGAGTTGATAGGCATCAAGGGTATGTAACTATACGACTCCAAGGAAACAAAAGGGAGAGGCTTTGTTTGTGGCTGTCTCTAACGGGGTAAGAGATGCTCCCGTCCTTCCCGTCTCTTTTTGAAAGCCTAAACAACAAAGGCAGAGTTTGCTGGTTTTGCTATAGGAAGGCAAATGTCTGATTTGTAGCGCAGGAATATTGATGAGGGAGCAAGTGATTTTTATGTTGCATATGTAGATCAAGGAGAGCAGAAGGAGAACGAAGCCTGTCTGGGGGGAATGGGCTGTGCTGGTTAAAGTGCAAACTTTTCAGACCCCTTCGCTCCCACAGGTACCTTTTGCGAAGATAAGGGAATTAAGAAGAGGAGTATGTTAGTCCTTGTTACCTGTACTTAACTACTTCAAACTAGAGCATTTGAAACAGATTAGGGAAGAAAAGGAAAGAGAAAAGAACCCAAAAATCAAACAATGTGAAGAAAGGTCAAGTTTCTACCTAAAATGAAATGTGGATTTTAGCCCATCAAGTGGGGTGAAAAGTCCTTCCTTAAGAATCAGCTGTGGTTATGCTGGTGAGAAAATCACAAGCCTGTGACCTGATCAGTCATTCCCTGCAGATCCCTGCCTTTCATTCTGCACCGGGAACAGCTCACAAACGCAGTGCTTTAAAGTGGCGTTTGAGGGCAGGGGATGCAGGCTTAGGTCTTCTGTGAGCACTTCATAAACTGCCAGTATTTTAATTTTCGGGACCTGCTTAAATGTCTAACATGTTATTAACTCCACAGGCTTTGAATTGTTGCTGCTTTCTCCCTGGATAATAAAACAGCAGATGATTTTGATCCTCTGGAAAGGCTGCTAGATGGTAATGTGCTTTTCCTTATTGTGGTTTTATGTCACACACTCATCTCGTCTTGGAGCTTTTTCCATCTTTAGCCTTTGTAAAAATTAAGAACATCTGAATGACTATAGCCTAAGAACAGTATGCTAGGTTTATGTGATAACTTATCAGTTATTCTGCATGCTGTAGTTAATAGTTAAATTCCTTTTTTGCTCAGGTATAAAATTTTAATCTGTTTACTGTGTTGTACACAGCAATGTTCAACTCTTTTGTGTGTTTAGCCTCTTTGAACTCATTAAAGAGACGAAGAAAATTTCAATCCATGTTTATTACAAGCTGCCCTGTTGCTTATCTAGCATAAAAATAAGCGTGATACTTTCACTTGGAGTCTCTTTCCACAGCTACATTTCAGCTGCCTCATTTTTTTCTCTCCATTTTTCATTGTTCCTAAATTCATTGTGGTCTCTCTTACAAATTAAAACCCAACAAAACTCCAGTACTGAGTGTTAGCAATGTAACAAATGGTGTCAGATCTTTATCAACTGGAGAAATTCATCTTTTTGTATGCAGTATTTGGCACCATCCTTTAAATATCCATGAAATCACTTGCACTTGGATTTTCAAGAACAGAGAAGGGAGGTCTGGAGAATTAGCTAGTGTTTACTCAAGCAGGGAAAAGTATCCATCATTCTTAAACAGTTTTACAAAAATAGATTCATTCTCAACTATGTTGAGAACATGACATTGTCCACAAGTTATTTTTGTCTGAGTAATAATAATATCCAAATTGTAAGCTCAAAACTGTTATGGGTGAGGAAGGATTACAGAAGTGTGCAATTACTATGGGCATCAATCATATGTATCAGTTACAGTTGGCTCTGAACCCTTCATCAAAAGTATTATTGCCACAAATAGCCTCCTTTATTTAAAAGAAAATGGTTTAAAAGTTCTGTTTCCACTCTTTTAAGCCTGTTAGGGTGTGGTATATAGACAGTTTTGAAGTAACCATGACAGTGTGTGCTAAAGCTGCAATTGCTGGGCTAATTCTCCATAATTTTCAGTCTGCTTTATGTCATCCTATATAAAGTGATTAATTACAAATTATCACAGAGTCATAGAATGGTTTGGGTTAGAAGGGACCTTAAGGATCATCTAGTTCTCACCCTCCTGCTATGGGCAGAGACACTTTCCTCTAGATCAAGTTGCTTAAAGCCTCATCCAACCTGGCCTTGAACACTTCCAGGGATGGGGCAGCCACAACTTCTCTAGGCAACCTGTTCCACTGCCTTACTACCCTCAGAGTAAAGAATTTCTTCCTTATATCTAATCCAAATCTCCCCTCTTTCAATTTGAAGCCATTGCCCCTTGTCCTGTCACTACATGCCCTTGCATAAAGTCCCTCTCCAGCTTTCTTGTAGGCCCTGTTTAGGTACTAGAAGGCTGCTTGAAGGTCTCCCCTCTTGTGTTGGGGTCCCCAGAGCTGAATGCAGGATTCCAAGTGGGGTCTCACTCTGAGAGCAGAGTAGAGGGGCAGAATCCCGTCCCTTGACCTGCTAGTCACGCTTCTTTGGCTGGACCCCAGGATACGGTTGGTTTTTTGGGCTGCAAGCGCACATTGCCAGCTCATGTTGAGTTTCTCCTCAACCAGCGCTCCCAAGTCCTTCTCCTCGGGGCTGCTCTCAATCCGTTCTCTACCCAGCCTGTATTTGTGTTTGGGATTACCCTGACCCACGTGCAGAACCTTGCACTTGGCCTTGTTGAACTTCATGAGGCTCGTACAGGCCCACCTCTCAAGCCTGTCAAAGTCCCTCTGGATGGCATCCCTTCTCTCCAGTGTGTCAGCCACCACCAAAGCTTAGTGTCGTCAGCAAACTTGCTGAGGGTGCACTCGATCTTACTCTCCATGTCACCAACAAAGATGTTAAATAGCACTGGCTCAAATACTGACCCCTGAGGAATATCACTCATCACTGGTCTCCACTTGGACTTTGAACCATTGACCACAACTCTTTGAGTGCGACCATCCAGCCAATTCCTTATCCACCGAGTGATCCATCCATCAAATCCATGTCTCTCCAATTTAGAGACAAGGATGTCGTGTGGGACAGTATCAAATGCTTTGCATAAGTCCAGGTAGACAATGTCAGTTGTTCTTCCCTTATCCACCAATCCTGTCACCTCATCATAGAAGGCCACCAAATTTGTCAGGCAGGATTTGCCCTTAATGAAGCCATGTTGGCTGTCACCAATCACCCCCTTATTTTCCATGTGCCTTAGCATAGTCACCAGGAGGATCTGCTCCATGATCTTGCCAAGCACAGAGGTGAGACTGACTGGCCTGTAGTTCCCTGAGTCTTCCTTTTTTCACTTTTTGAAAATGGAGGCTATGTTTCCCCTTTTCCAGTCGATGGGAACTTCACCAGACTGCCAGCCAGGACTTCTAAAATATGATGGATAGTGGCTTAGCAACTTCATCTGCCAGTTCCCTCAGGACCCGCGGGTGCATCTTATTGGGTCTCATGGACTTTTGCATCTTCAGGTTCCTTAGATGGTCTTGAACCAGACCTTCTCCTACCGTGGGTGGTTCTTTATTCTCTCAGTCCCTGCTTTTGCCTTCTGTGACTTGAGCAGTGTGACTAGAGCACACGCCAGTGAAGACTGAGGCAAAAAAGTCGTTGAGTACCTCAACCTTCTCCATATCCTGGGTAACCAGGTCTCCCATTTCCTTCCAGAGAGGGTTCACATTTTCCCTAGTCCTCCTTTTATCACTGACATACCTATAGAAGCTTTTCTTATTGCCCTTGATGTCTCTGGCCAGATTTAACTCTATCAGGGCTTTACCTTTCCTAACCTGATCTCTGATTGCTCGGACAATTTCTCTGTGTTCCTCTCGGGCTAACTGTTCTTGCTTCCACCCTCTATAGGCTTCCTTTTTGTGTTTGAGTTTGTTCCCGAGCTCCTTGTTCATCCATGCAGGTCTCCTGGTGGTTTGCCTGACTTTCTCTTTGTTGGGATGCACTGCTCCTGAGCTTGGAGGAGGGGGTCCTTGACTGTTAACCAGCTTTCTTGGGCCCCTCTTCCCTCCAGGGCTTCATCCCATTGTACTCTACCGAAGAGATCACTGAAGAGGCCAAAGTCTGCTCTCCTGAAACCCAGAGTAGTGAGCTTGCTTTGCTCCCTCCTCGCCACCCTAAGGATCTTGAACTCCACCATTTCATGGTCACTGCAGCCAAGGCTGCCCTTGAGCTTTACATTCCCCACCAGCCCCTCCTTGTTGGTGAGAACAAGGTCTAGCATAGCACCTCTCCTCGTTGGTTCCTTAATCACCTGGAGAAGAAAGTTATCATCAATGCATTCCAGGAACCTCCTGGATTGCCTATGCCCTGCTGTGTTGTCCCTCCAACAGATATAAGGGTGGTTGAAATCCCCTATCAAGACTAGGGCTCGTGAACATGAGACTGCTCCTATCTGTCTGTAGAGGGTCTCATCTGCTTGGTATTCCTGGTTAGGTGGCTTGCAGCAGACCCCCACTGTAATGTCCCCTGTCCCTGCCCTCCCTTTAATCCTGACCCATAAACTCTCAGTTGGCTCCCCCTCCATCCCCAGGCAGAGCTCCATGCGCTCCAGCTGATGTTTGACATAGAGGGCGACACCTCCTTCTCATCTCCCCTGCCTGTCCTTCCTAAAAAGCCTGTATCCTTCTGTTCTGACATTCCAGTCATTGGATTCATCCCACTATGTCTCCGTGATGTCAATGAGATCATAGCCCTGCAGGTGTGCGCGCACCTCTAACGCCTCTTGTTTATTCCCCATGCTGCGTGCCTTTGCATAGAGGCATTTAAATTGGGCTCCTGATGAATCTGTTTTACTGGCTGGAGTGGCTGGAATTCCTTTCTACTGCTCTCCAGGTGCTCTCAGCTTGTCATGGGCAAGCCTGATGTTATCCCCCTCACCCTTTAAGTCTAGTTTAATTATTTTTCAGTCTATTTCATGGTACCTTTATTTTACTGCTTCCTGAGCTTTCTCTGTAGCCATTGTGTTGAGCCAAAGTTGGTGCACTAATTTATGGCATTGCTTTCCTCTCTGCTGTGTGGAGGTGGTGCCTGGGTCAGTGC